GCGAAAATATGTCGCAAGTCTGCGAAGATTCGAACGATGTCCTTGGCCTGTGGATGTTCAATATCTAGGTAATTGACAGTACAAGGTTAAAAAGTTTAAATTTAGAAAAGGTTAATGCAAATATCTGATAAAATTATAGCAAGCAAATAAAAAAAGCAAACTAATTGATTTTGATGTTATTTTACTATACGCATTTTGTTAGTTCCCAAAGAAGACAATAATAAGACAATGGGCATGAACAGGTTAACTTAACTTGTAATAATATTTTAAAATTACATTTATTACAAATGTATTATTATACCTGATTATACAGATAATACTTATTCAGTACAAAATAATTAAGTTATTAAAAGCAATAAATTTTTTGAGGACTAATATCGTGTGGTGTGTGCATCAGAGATGTTTTTCACTAAAGATGCAGACAGTTTTTCAAAAGTGGCCTCGGAATACGAGTTTAGTCTCTAATTTGATGTGATATCTAGATTCTAGACATCTGGTTGGTCCAACTTTCACTTTACGCAATTGTTTTCGATGCGTTTAATTGCTTATTTTTTTAAGTAGGTACCTACCTAGGTACTTACTGCACATTATTTACGTCTATCAATGATATAAGATTACTCAATCCTATTTTTTTATTATATCTACATTATTAGGTAAACATTCATGTAACAATTTCAACCTGTATAATTATTACTAGTAGGTATGAAGAAATAATATTTACAGGATTTATTATTATGAAAATTTATTGAGTGAAGTGCTCGGCTACGTATAATAATTTAGATTTTGTTGCTAAATATGGTTTGTGAATTGTGAATCTGTAATTTTGCGAATGTCATTTTACGCCACCTGACGACATTCAGACGTATGCGAATTTGTCATTTTGCATTTTTGACATTTTAGCATAGCAGTGTTTATCTTTAAATATGTCAACCATTCAACTGAAATTTGTACATACTCGTACGAATAGTATTTCTAGGTCAGACTCTAAATTTAAAAAAATATTTTTCATAATAATTTAACGAATATTATTAACACATACACATTATGTATAATTTTTACGGCTCTCTGATTGCTAACAGAATGACAGTATTCAAGTTGACGGTAAAAGTGACAGTAAACTAACGTTTGCCTGACAAATTAACGCCTAACAAGTACCCTATTACATCTGAGAGTGAAATCTCTACTTCGGAAACAATTATCTTCCATAACTTCCCCGAGCCGCAATACTTTGTGGTTAACTTATCTTATGTTCAAAACTATGATGCCACAGAGAAAACTGTTGTACAGATTTCAATTAGGGTAAGTTTGTCAGTGAAAGTATATTCTCGACGCGCTAGAAATTTTATTGGCTGTTCAACCGCAATTGCCTCGCTAGCGGTACCCAGTTCAAAAACACGGGCGAATTTTAAAAGAAAACGCTGTAGGCTGTTTAGATCTCTAAAATTATTTGGCGAGACCATCCTACTATAATATTATAATGCGAAAGTTTGGATGTCTGGATGTCTGTTACTCTTTCACGCAAAAACTACTGAACGGATTTTGACAAAACTTTACAGTATTAATGTTTATAACCCAGAATAACATATTATATCCTATAAAATTTATGACGATCTGTGACAAACTAAATTTCACGCGGGTGAAGCCGCGTGCAAAAGCTAGTAGAGTAATAAAGCCTAAGATATTAAGCACACGAAAAGTGAGGCGACTTTTAGTATACCATTCTAGTGTACTTGAAACTTGAAACTTTTTTTAAAATTAAATGTCCTGTTAAATAATTTTAAAATAACAAATAATAACATTTTATTACGATAAATGTGGATAAAAATCTCTTACTTTCGAAAAAATCGCCTTATAGCCTGACCAGGAACATAAAAACCCTGGCATAGAGGCGCGTCAATTGCATTTGATAGTGCAACACTGAGTACAGTCGTACATGTGTTAAATTAATAGGCAAAATTTATGTATCAGGATTCAGGATTACGGGCTAATCTGATATTTTCATAAAGTAACGAAAAAATATTACTAAAGGTAACCTGGTTTAAATAAATTAAATGAAACCATCAATCTAGCTATTAGGATTTATTATTCATCAATAATCAAATTCAGAACTTGAATATTCAACTGCAATGTCTGCTCATGAACGCTTCAAACTCGGTACTTCTTTCCCAATTCCATAAAATTCAAAACTTAGAAAGTGACAAAAAACTTTAAAATAGGTAGTTGAAACAGACTACAGCTAATTTTCATAGTGGACTGTACTATACGATAAACATGTCAGTCAATTTGACAACCTTTGTCGGAAACATTATTCAATGAAAATATTGTCCGAACCCTTAGTATTTCTCTTCGACAAATACATTAACACATTATGAACCACTTTTCTTTCACGACTATAAAAATATTTTAGCAATTTAATTCACAAAATCAATTGCACACATTTAAAATAAAGTTGGTTTACACTTTGACAACAATAGACTGACATGCAAGGTGACATGTCAATGAAGTTTTCAGTTACTGTTGCCATTAAAAGAAATTAGTACCATTAGTTTTCCGCAACATGGCGAGGGTTTTTATGTTCCTGGTCAGGCTATAATTTAAACATTTTATAACAACGTTTTGACAGTATTGACATAAGATTTGACAGAAATGACATAACATTTTGCCTCACTTTTGACCAAGCGTTTGTAGAAGAATATCCATCGAGACTGATTGTAAAATTTGTAAATGTTAGTCAAAGCAATTTGTAATAATTTGTATATTTTTCCCCCTTTCGGGTTCGGTGCCCGCTCTACTGACACCATCAGCGATTATAAAGCGGTTTAGTGTAATTTCACACACTTATCATTATCGCTTGTACGCTCAGCTTGTATCGTAACGGTATCAAGGACAAGGTCATTGCCCAGTGTGCCCACAGCAACGGTGATTGTGTTTCCGCGCCGCATCAACAGATGGCGCGGTGTGTACTTTACATCGCGATATCATTTGATTTTTTCCTGACTTTATAGTCTCCGGCAAAATTTCGACTCGATGCCATCAGAAGGGTCTTAACTGACTCGACTGAACAGCGGATGATGAATTCGGATATGAATTTCATGATTCCACTCCGCTCGCTTTCGGGTCAACTATCGCAGACCCGTTAGTCGAAGAACTGACGCTGTTTTTGGCCACTTTTTAATTCTTATTTAATTAAATGTTAATGATGATATATGAGTCATATTATCATCATGATCCATGACTCAATTAATTAAACCATTCTAGGTATAATAGATAGGCCTTGTTTGTTCCATGTAGTTTTGTAACTGGTCTTTAGATTTCGAGACGAAAATCTGTTAAAATGTGACGATATATTTTTAGCATATCCAACATGTTAGCGCGCATTTGCAATACCTACTAGCAATACCGCAGAATAACAGCGTCATGTTCTGGGTTTTATTTACTACTCCAGAGCATGACACATGCTGAGCGGTGGCCAATTTTGGTTCTAACTTGTACCTACTTGCTTGTTATCTGTGTGTTATATTTTTAGTTGGAACCAAATAAATGTTTTTCTTTCTTTCTTTCTTTCAATACTTACGTCCGTATTGCAGCAAATCGAACGTACAGCGTTAAATAGAGCCCTGACATATTACTTATTCTGTGCCTGTGATTGGTTCGTGTATCACCCTGTGCGTCCACGCGCACTGTGAGACCTCATTAGTAATGTTTGTGAATACGGGCGTTAATCATCACGTTGTGTCTTGATACGGCAAACCGTACTTACGTTAATATTGTTATTATCACACTTCACTGCTGATTACCTGTAAGCAAAGAAAAAATAAATTAAATGGTTAATTTATGAGTTGCTAGATTTTTGATCAACCAAAGGCGCAATAGATTCATTAATGAAAAAAAAATTAACAGGCTTAGGTAATTAATTTTAAGCAAAATTAGGTTTAGTGTGCTTAATGTAATGTATATGTACATATGTAACCCTCATAATTGTAATTTATATCGTGTTTTGTGCGAGTAGATCTACACTAATTATGATAAAGAGGAAATATTTTATTGTTTGTTTGTATTTAGTAGGCTCTGAAACTACAGGTCGATTTTAAAAATTCTTTCACCATTAATTTAAATCCTACATTATTCCTGATGAACATAGACTATGGACAAATTTAAGACACCTTTTTAATAGTGAATAGGCACTTACAGGGCAGATACCATTCTAGACTGCATCTCACTCAACATCAGAGGGCTTAGTGTGAGTTTACATCAAACGTCGTAACAGTCAGCACGTAAAAAATGACACTTAATGTATGACGGATTGTGCAGCGCCCCTAGTGCAAACTTTAAAGAACTAAAATTTTCATATATTTTTTTAACGCGCTCCCTAGTGAGGATGTTTGATGTAAACTCACACTCAGCCCTCAGGTACGATTGCGGTTAAACATCTGCCTTGATATGCATAAAAATACTTTTTATATCTCGGCTAACATATTTTTTTCTGTCATTCCAGAAAACTGTCAAGACTGCGCGCCCGCGCCCCCCACCATGGGCCAAGAGCAGTCGTACGCCGGCGCCGCTAGCGCAAGCTACCGCGAACGCTACCCCGACTACCGGCCGCCTACAGACCTCGCCTACGACGACTACAAGCGACACAAGGCCCGCCGCAGCGCTGAAAGCTTCAAGAGCGACATCTCATCCGCAGAGAGCAGCGGCTACAGAAGCAGTTCCAGCGCCTATGAGTGCCAATCCAACAGATCCTCCAAGAGCGACTACTATTGCACCTCGCTCTACAAAAACGACCACTACAAAGACATCAACAAAGAACTATACAAACCCGTCAAGATCAAAGACAAAAGATACAAGCTGCAGCTCCTAGACATAGAAAAGGATGAGCTAAAAAGCGCTCGACTCAAAAGTTACTTAAGTGATACAGAAAAGACGCAACTGAAAGCCCCAGCCCCCAAAAAGGCGGGCATCAGAAATTACACGCCTAAAATCCTGACGGAGGAGGATCAAAGAAAAAAAGATTGGATATAACGAACATAAGACTAGTAGGATAGGTTGTAAATATTAGTTTAGCAGTAGATGAGTGTAAAGGGCGAAAATGGAGGCGGCTGGCGCGCTGGCGAGCTTGGCTCCGTCGCCCATCACCGTGCTGGGTCTGATACCACTCCTGGCACTAGGAATTACGTATTTCAGATACCAGCAATACGATCCGGAGTCTTACATATCGGATGTCAATGCTGTAAGTATCGTTAATGTTTCATCCTTACGTAAAAATAATAAAGTAACAGTTATTATGACTGCAGTGCCCATTATAAAACTGATAAATGTTTCATAGTGGATGCCGACAATAAAGACTTTCATATATCCATATTAATGAAACTATTATGGTCAAAGTTTTCACTCGTCACATATGCTTTTAATCAATTTCCTGATTTAATTACAATACCGCTTTGGCAATATGTATAGGTACTTTAACTGATACAAACTTATCCTCTTTTCAGATAATGCCGATCTACGATTTTGTTGTCGTCGGCGGCGGCTCGGCCGGCGCGGTGGTCGCGTCGCGGCTCTCGGAGATCGGTAACTGGACGGTGCTGCTGCTGGAGGCCGGCCAGGACGAGAACGAGATCTCCGACATCCCCGCGCTGGCCGGCTACACACAGCTCTCAGAGATGGACTGGCAGTACCAGACCACGCCGTCCAACAACCGCTCCTACTGCCTCGCCATGAACGGAGACCGCTGCAACTGGCCCAGAGGCAAAGTCCTCGGCGGATGCAGCGTCCTCAACGCCATGGTCTACGTTAGAGGCAACCGGAACGACTACGATCTATGGGAGGCACTAGGAAACCCCGGCTGGGCGTACGACCAAGTACTACCCTACTTCCTCAAGTCTGAAGACAACCGAAACCCGTATCTGGTCAACACCCCGTACCACAGCGCTGGAGGATATCTAACCGTCCAAGAAGCTCCCTGGCGGACGCCGCTGTCGGTCGCCTTCATTAAAGCCGGCATGGAACTCGGCTACGAGAACCGCGACATAAATGGAGCGAAACAGACCGGTTTCATGCTGACGCAGGCGACGATGCGACGCGGCAGCCGGTGCAGCACTGCCAAGGCCTTCCTCAGACCTGTCCGTCAGAGGGAAAACCTTCACATCGCGCTCGGAGCTCAAGTAACCAGGATATTAATTAACCCGGTAAAGAAACAAGCTTACGGCGTTGAATTTGTGCGAAACGGACAAAAACAAAAGGTCCGGATTAAAAGGGAGGTGATCATGTCAGCCGGGGCTTTGGCTAGTCCGAAGATTATGATGCTGAGTGGAATAGGCCCGGCGGACCATTTGAGGGAACACGGAATTCCTGTAGTCGCGAATTTAAAAGTAGGCCACAACTTGCAGGACCACGTCGGGCTGGGCGGTCTCACTTTCGTCGTAAACAAACCGGTCACGTTTAAAAAAGACCGCTTTCAAACGTTCGCTGTTGCGATGAACTACATTTTATACGAAAAGGGGCCTATGACTACTCAAGGCGTAGAGGGTTTAGCTTTCGTCAACACAAAATACGCTCCACCGTCCGGCAACTGGCCCGACATCCAGTTTCATTTCGCGCCCAGTTCGGTCAACTCGGACGGCGGTGAGCAGATCAGGAAGATTTTGAACCTCCGGGACCGCGTTTACAACTCCGTGTATCAGCCGATAGAAAACGCCGAAACATGGACTATCCTGCCCTTGCTATTACGGCCTAAGAGTTCTGGTTGGGTGAAGCTGCGAAGCCGGAATCCGTTCCACGCGCCATCGATAGAGCCGAATTACTTCGCGTATAAAGAGGACTTGAAAGTTCTGACCGAGGGCATAAAAATAGCGATGGCGATATCGAACACGACTGCTTTTCAAAGGTACGGGTCCAGGCCTCACAACCTTCCGATGCCGGGTTGCCAACACCTGCCACTGTTCAGCGATGAGTACTGGGAGTGCAGTTTGAAGCACTTCACTTTTACCATTTACCACCCGACGGGAACTTGCAAGATGGGCCCCAAGCATGATCAGGATGCAGTAGTAGACCCAAGACTGCGGGTGCATGGTGTGGCAAACCTCAGGGTTGTGGACGCAAGCATCATGCCCACCATCATCAGTGGGAATCCCAACGCTCCGGTCATCATGATCGCGGAAAAGGCTTCGGACATGATCAAAGAGGATTGGCTTGTGTTATGACAGTGTTTCATATTTATAGCATTAACGAATGAGAATAATAAATTTGGAAATTAACTAATACCTACACTTTGGGAAATTTTACAAAATAATAACTAGATGCGGTGATATTAGACTGTGTAAGTGCGTCTGTGTTCCTTTTTGTACTCGCAAGGAATACTATTTTGAACAGACAGTATATTACATAATAAGAACTGAAAAGTGAATTCATAAATTTGGTGTTGTTTTATTTAATGTAAAAGACTTGAACAAATATAATATTAAGAATATTTATTAGTGTTACTTCTTATAGGTTTGTGAGCTGCAGAGAAAGCTACTTTGGAGAACTTACTTTAGTTGATGTTATATTTTTTGTAAATAAAGTGTATAACAATAAAACTTAATAGCATTGTTCATAAACATAAGTTTCGAGTCTTAGCTAGCATTCTAATTGTATGTAATATTATTATTAGTGCTTTAATAAAATGCAGCGTTACATTGAAAATGATGTTTTATTTTATTATTAGTTTTAATTTAATACTTGACTTATTCACAAAGGAAATAAATCTAATGTATATGACTTTATTTACAATAAACAGAATTTTTTTTAAAACTAAGGCAAACTTAACTCTAAACAAAATCTAATTGAAAATATACTTACTATGATCATAAAATCAGTGAAGTGCCTATGTAGGTACCTACCTACTGAATCGTTAGTTATTGCGTTCGATTGCCTAAATAAGAAAGAACTTCCTTGTCTAATTAATTTATTTTAACGATGGGAAAGTGCAATAACCAATTTTGACACAATCCCATTCAGTCAGAAGAAGATCCAGGAGTTAAAATTACATACATTATTTTGGGTCTACTTCTTGAGCAAAGCTTAATAATATTTATTAGCCTACAGTACAAATTAAGTCGGGCAGCGCCATCTAGTGTGGAGTAGCAGTCCAAATTTTGTAACGCCATCTATTGACGAGTAGCCACTCTGTTAAAATTTGATGCTTGCTTAATATAGCACGCTAAAATAAGCAAGCTTAGTCTTGGTAAATAGTACAACATATCCTGTGTAGATGTCGCTTTATTGAAATTCAGATGACTTCAAGTTTTATAGTTTAAAAATAAATAAAAAATTAACAATCAAATACAATAAATCAATAAACTACTTGCTGTAACATTTAGAACTTCAATAATTATAAACAAAAATGTTCTAAAAAAAATACAAATAACCTAGTAACAATTGTTTGACAATTATTTGCATTTATTATAGGTACAGTATCAATCTTTTTTTATTATAAACACGAATGCAGCAATTTATTATCATTAGACGTATATTTATTTATTTATCAGAAACATGCAATATACTGGTTTTATTTTATAATATTAAATACCGAAGTAATACAATATAACCTACATAGTTATCAGGCCGAATCTCGTGAAAAATATTCAGACAATAATCTAATTTAGTACCTACTTATATTTAACTAGCGGCCGCCCGCGACTTCGTACGCGTGGATCCCGTTTTACCCCCTTAGGGGTAGAGTTTTGTAAAATCCTTTCTTAGCCGATGCCTACGTCATAACATCTACCTGCATGCCAAATTTCAGCCCGATCCGTCCAGTGGTTTGGGCTGTGCGTTGATAGATCACTATGCCAGTCAGTCACCTTTGAGATAATTATATTTAGAAGATTTCTACAGCACTTTATCTCCACTATTCGTACAAATCGGTTATGGCTGTGTATAGCGCCCTGGAAAGGCCCTAAGTACTGAATAGAGAGTTTTAACTAACAATAAAACTTACCTATTATTTTTCCAACAATATCCGGAATCCATCTTGTTGAGTAAAGCCCCTGTCTTTTTTCATGGTTTTTTCGTCTTAGCAACTTCCTCCCTCCGACTTCCGGCGCCACCATCGCTCGTTTTGGTGGGGGCAATGGCGGCGACCGGAATATGGCCCGGCTTTTTGATCATTATACTTACTCACGATGTACCAGGTAGGCATTACCTGGATTCCGGATATTGTTGGAAAAATAATAGGTAAGTTTTATTGTTAGTTAAAACTCTCTATTATTTGTTCCGTGCCAATATCCGGAATCCATCTTGTTGAGTGATGTGTTTGTTATCTCCTGGTAGTCAAATGATGATGCTATGTCTTATGAAAAATAAATATAGGTTAGGTATAGGTATATTAAATTTCTATATTCATGATAATAAATGTATACTACAAATCATAAGGCAAAATGTAGTGTACTTTGAATAATCTATTAATTTGTAACATAAATTACTGGACCGGTTCAAAGAAATTAGGTAGAGATACCGAGTGCGATAAATCAGGATCATGCTTGATTAATTATTTCTTTTTGTTAATAGGTCCTAAATATACACTCTTGCCTCCAGTTACCGGTTGCAAGAATTTGGTCTACTGGAAAATGTTCTAGCCAATTTAGCGACTACTAGACTTAGGCTACGGCGGATCGCACAGAGCCCGGCGCCTGCGTCTCGCAGCACAGATTTGATCCAGCCGCCGAGAACTGTTCTGGATGTCGGTTTTGGGTCTCCCCTCGCAGTAATAAAAAGCACCCAGTAAAAGTAATATCAAAATATTACCTTGTCGCCGATGATCTTCTGATATTGCAATCAATTGTCGAATCCAATGCACGCAGTCGAGGTTTTGGTTTGAGTGCTTCTTAAGTTTCCAACCTGGGCCCCGATTACGCTAAAAATGTTCATCTTCAACGTGCCCGGACGTCAGCTGTTTTGACAAATCCGTATCGCAGAATCGAAGAAGCGCGTCTGTATTGGAGACGTTAAAAATTAGCGTAATCGGGGCACTGATTGCCTGTAACTAAAGCTGTCGTTTTAGATCCTTTAGGCCACAGAAATTCAATCGCCCTCGTCCACNGTTGAGCTGCCCAGCCGAAGTCAGACGGACCGTGGTCAGCAGGTGTGATATCTGGGCTGTATGTATCGCTGACGAGTCCCGTACGGCTTCCATCCACCAGCTCATCTCGGTAAAACAGGTGCTGGTATACTAACTCGCCTGTAGAGGTGCGCTTTGGGAAGCTGTCGGCTGTAGTACTGCATAGTCCGACAGTGCAGTCGCCCTCTGCGTACGACGAATGAGGCAAGTTGAGTCTCCCCAGAAGTGACTGGGCTTGTCGGAGAGACCAGCTGCCCCTGGACATCTGACTTTGAAGGGCCATTGCGTAGCGTTAGGCGCTTCGGTTTCGACAGGGACTTCGTGTTGAGTTTGGTGTCCCATGTAACTCCCAGAAACTCCAGGCGTTGAGTCGGAACCAGTACAGATTTGTCCAAGTTGATCGTTCATCAGATTCGTCGCATCAGGCTCACCATAAAAACGACGTGGTCGTGTAAAATATGGCGAGACTGATTGACCGGCATGAAAACGTCCAAATAAACCACACACCTGATGTTGTGACGTTCTCGGTGCCGATGACAGGCCAAACGGAAGGCAGGTCATCTGGTCAGGAACCTTTAATGCTGCTCGGCTATAGGTAGATGAAAGTACGCTTGGCTGAGATCCACCTTCACCATCCAGTCTTCGCTCTGTAAGAAACTCGGCACGCGAAAATGACTGAACAGATAAAACTTTTTCAATTTGACTTTGTTTAACTGTTTCAAATTGAATATAGGACGGAATGAACCGTCCGTAATTGATTGATTAGGTGATACAAGTGGTGGCTTCATCAGTTAGGCAGGGGAGTGAGATATTGGTTTCTTACCCTTATAGACTCGCTCGATCTTGTTGGTAGATGTCCTGTTGTCAGAAGACTTGCCATGACCTTTATTTTTGTCCTTCGAGCCTGAAGACTCACCTTGAAAATTGTTGCCGCCAGATTGTTTGCTCGTCGACGGCTACGGCGTATTATCGCTGGAACGATTTCGTTTGTAGTAGTAATGAAGGTGTTAGTTTTTCGGCCCCCCAATTTTTTGAAGGTATTTGCCAATAAATCGCCATCAAACAAATTCTCTGCACTTGGAGGAATTCTTTGCAAGGCTCCGCAATGATATTCCTCTGAAATTTGCTATAATATACACTCCCTACCTACCTACGCATGCGAATACAGTCAGCCCTCCTGACGAAACATATTTTTAAGATGTCATCAGTTACTTTTGTATAATTACTTTCTTTACCAAATGATTGCTCAATTTTACCAAATAAAGATTTGGGCGTGAGCGTGGTGTTTTTATCGTTCGACCAATCTACTAAGTTTTGTAAGCAATTCGTCTTTCTGAGACAGAATAGCGTTCGATAATGCAGCGCAAGTTCTCTCTAATAGGTACAAACGATCTTCATTGGCACTAGGCTCTTTGAAACGTCTCAATTCATCGTTGATGTTGAGTTCTATAAAACCCGGGGTAGCTAGGTATTTTTTCTGTGTTTCAGAAAAACGAATTGCATACCAATCGTTGCATTTGAATCTTTGTAACAGATAATTTAGCTAAATGAGTCTCGTTGGCATTAGGAAATGGCGGATCCTTCAGTGAAGTCGAAAATTCCGATAATTTTAATTGCTGACTATCGGTTACAACCGTGTCAGGCGGTGGGCGGAGGCCCAGCTCGCCAATCGGACAACGGACGGGTTCACTGACCTCTTGGATCGCCGGCACCACGCATGCTTGTGGCTCTAATTGCTTTTGAGTAATTGAATTAGTCAAAAAAGCTACCTGTTGCGACAGAAATTCAAATCTCATGTCACTCACGATTTCCTTTCTCGATCGTTTCAGTCTCCTTTCCGGACTCGAATCCTCCGACGACGACGCACTGCTCGTACTTTGAGAACGACTTCTTCTTCGCGACTGACTTTCACCAAAATCATCACTTCGTTGCACACTTACTATTTTCGTTCTCCATAATGAAGGGAGGATCCACTTTTATTATTAAAATATTATATACTTGGGTAGATTTTTACAAGAAAAAACAATAATTATTGCTAAGACGTGTTACCACTACGAAAGACGACGCTATAATGATCAAAAAGCCGGGCCATATTCCGGTCGCCGCCATTGCCCCCACCAAAACGAGCGATGGTGGCGCCGGAAGTCGGAGGGAGGAAGTTGCTAAGACGAAAAAACCATGAAAAAAGACAGGGGCTTTACTCAACAAGATGGATTCCGGATATTGGCACGGAACAAATAATATAAAACTTTATAACTTAGTTGAATATTATTGTTATGGATGATCCATAGCCAAGCTAAATAATTAAAGTGTTTAAAAGATACTTATGGTATTTTACGCCCGTATTCACAAACATTACTATTAGATCTCACAGCGCGCTTGGACGCATAGGGTGACAGGAACCAATCACAGAGGTCTATTCAACGCTGTGCGTTCGATTTGCTGCTTCATCAGCAGCAAGT